TTATATGAGTCAACCGCCACCACGCCTTAGATGACACAATTCCACCACCGATTGCGAGCCATACCATCTTCTCAAGTTCCAGCCCTGCAAAATTACTGCGTCATTCGATATGCGTATTAAATTGTTCAGTGTTATTCATGCAAAATCTTTGTTCATGTTTGTTTTCCGGAGTCATTTCATATTTCATTTTTCCATGAATTTTACCTGTCTCCAACCCTCAAAATTTCTAATTCAAATTGTGACTACTGAAATTTTTAGTTTGCAAACCTACACACTCTTTCAGACTATTTTTCAGGAGAAAAATTTTTTCGTGAGAGGGTAGTGTTAGGTATATGTATGCCTACGTAGATATGTATATGTAATTAGTTATGAATCTGTACATCACTCCAGCTTTAACTCTCTTCCAATAAATACTCTCCTCTCTCTCCTCTCACTGTGTACCACTTATTTATGTATAATCATATATACATAACAATACCATATAAGTAAGATGTTGTGGTCGTAGTGCGCGAGGAAGAAATTGATTCAAAAATGTCGAAACAAGATGCAGAGTCTGACATTGCATTAGATTTAGATATGTCCAAATTTTCAGAAAGTGTTCAAATCTAACACTCAATTGCATAAGAGAATCCCTTAAAATCACAAAAGATTTTACACACGTCGCGGAGAGAGAATGGCGAAAACCAGTGTCCTTCGAGAAACGACAATTATCTTGCACAATGACCACTATTTTTCAGGGAGACTAGTATTCCTCCAGAATTAAAATGTTTTCCATAATACGAAAATTGTCTTAGCTCGAATCAAAGAATTAGAGGTTACTACTTATGTAGAATGGAATTTTCTTTCATTTCTATTAAATTATGTACTACTTCACATGACTTCAGAATTCCACTACAATGTGGACCAAACAGGAGTGTTTCTTCAAAGCAACTGTAAAGCGTTGTTATCTTCCCAGTTTTTGCTAGTTTTTCATGTCAAAAATCCGTTATGGCCGCGAAATAGGTTTAACTTCTAACTAAATTCCTTCCAAACAACCAGAAACCAAGTGCTAGGGCGTTTACTAAGCGTGTGCTAGGCGTCCTATTTTACAAATAGGGCGTCCAAAATCAGAAGTTTTTAAAACACCGGTTTTCCGATGACTCGGATTTTTCAAATTGTGGTCAAACCGGTTTTCCATTAATCGAAGTATGGAAAATCGTAGGAAACCGGTGTTCGATTCTTTGCGCAAACCGACAAATCGGTTTTATTGCAAATTATAAAAAGTTGGCAAATATAATAATCGAGGAATGCAAAACTAGAATTAAATGCAAACTTAATACGGGCTTATAGCACAACTAATTCTTATCTCAACAATTCGAAACAGAAAACATTGGCCCTTAAAAAGCTTATTTTATTAAACCCCGAAAATCGGTGTTGGAGTTTTTAAAAACCGGGTTTTCGGAAAATTGTGAAACCGGTTTTTTCTTAGTGAGGAAAATACCTAACAACGAAAAAATTACTAAGGAGGGGAGCTTCACCACCTGCCCCTCTCAGATCTTGATGTGCTTTGGATATGTGGTAGGGACCCATGAGTGTAGTAAAACCCTGAAGTGGTTTGACTCCATGGCCGCAGGTACGCCCGCCACACCTACTCAAAGGCGCCAAAAACACGAAAAAAGCCCTGTTTTCACTTGTTTAAACCCTCGCCAAAAATCCAATTTTGCTCGGATTTTGGTAAAATTCACATTTTTGTAATCCCAGGTACTTGTTTGATTATATCCAGTAGCAATCTCAACTTTTTTGAAATTTTGAATTTTTTCGAATAATTCATCAACCCGAAAATGCCCGAAAATTTCGAAAATTTCAAAAAAGTTGAGAGTGCTACTGGATATGATCAAACAAGTACCTGGGATTACAAAAATGTAAATTTTACCAAAATCCGATCAAAATTGGATTTTTGGTGGATTTTTGAAGTTGGTAACTTTTGTGGTTTTGATCCCTTTGAGTGGGTGTGGCGGGCGCAAATGTGGCCATGGAGTCAAACCACTTCAGGGTTATAGTACACTCATAGGACCCTACCACATATGCAAAGCACATCAAGATCTGAGAGGGGCAGGTGGTGAAGCTCTCCTCCTAAGTATACTGTTAATACATAACATTAAAAAAAGTGACATTTTACGATATCTCAGCCATTTGTTAACCCATTTGGGTGAAATTTTGCACAGATCATTATGAGCCGATTGAAAAAAGTTCATCGATTCGACGTACAATGGAAACTTTTTTCAAACTACACCAGGCTCGACAAGTGAGTTATGTCAAAAAAAACAAGCCAAAAATTAGAACTCAAATAACGTTTCTCTTTCCGTTGAATGGAAACTTTGAAGAAAAATATTGGGGGCCAAAGTTCGCACCCCTCCCTGGTTTTCGCCCCATGGAGGAAAAATCAAGAGAAAACTTGCTCAAAAATTGAACTTAGCCGCCAATATTTTTCTCCAAAGGGGCCATTCAACGGAAAGATGAGTGTCATGTGACTGCTAATTTTTGGCTTGACTTTTTGACACAACTCGCTAGTCGATCCAGGTGTAGCTTGAAAAAATGTTCCACTGTTAGCGAATTTTTGATTTTTAGCCGACTTATTAACAAAAATGCACCCTTGGAAACACATTTATATTTATATTTAATTACTGGCATATCTCAGCGAGAAGCCAATCGCACAAATTTTAGAGCAAAATTTTGTGCAAATTTTAAGGGTAGAATGATTAAAATCGGTTGATAAATGGCAATTTTTTCCCTATGAGAGGTGAAAAAAATGAATGAAATTTATACAATAGAAGCACCATTGACAACAAAAGATAAAAAAAAAACTACTAGTCACAAGTATCAAATAAAAAAGCTCCCAAAAAGTAGAAAATCTTAGTGAGGCTTGGCGCAACTACAGATATTAAATAAATTTTCCGCAACAGCATTTGCATCACCACTCTGCAAACTTTCTATTCGGAGATTTCGTTTTATAAAATTCATCAGAACAATTCGAAGGTACAAGCAAAGAGAGCCATGAATAAGGAGATGTAGGAGAGTAGTGATGCAAATGCTGTCCCTGAAAATTTATTTAATATCTGTAGTTGCACTAAGCCTCACTAAGATTTCCATGCTTTTGGGACCTTGTTTATCACAACGCCGGTTTTTGGAAACTTTTAAAACCCGTTTTCCGTTAAATTTAAAACCGATTTTCAACATCTTATATGCAATTGGAAAACCCAATTTTGGATGACCTACTTACAAGCCCCTTGAGACTCATTTGCTAATCACGGAGTTTAATCCTCTATCTCATTTCTTGAAATCAAATATTACTTGAGATTATGAATTCGTGGAGGTACATCTGAAATTACAATCCTAAATTTTGTATGACACATCAAATTTGTCATTAGCTAAAGGTCTATCCCCGTAAGAACAGATCGGGTTTAAAATTGTTTAATTGTTGACTAGGAAAATCCGGCCTCGCAAATGAAGCTTGTCTACCATACACTTTTCCACACTTAATATGCATTTATCTTGCGGCGTGTGACAGGCCCATTATATCTAGTGTATAGGGCGCGCCGGTACAGCCCTTCGGGCCGTACGGCCTGGAGCCAGCGCTCCATCTAGAAGCATCGTCGGTACGGGCCTGCCTGTTTTGATCAGCGTGCACGCGCGCTCACCTGCTTTTGTAGGAAGTCATGTACATGACTCGAGCAGGTGAGCGAGCGTGCACGCTGGCGTTTTTCCATCAAAACAGGACTTTTTGGGTTGCTACCTTATAACCCATACGACTGTATATAGCTATAAAATTTATAGGGAAAATTGGTAGAACGGAAACTTTTTTGATCTTTTTTGAAACTTTTTTGCTCAAAGAGTCTATCATAGACCGCCTATGTACATAGGTTAGGCCCTTTGAAATACTAAAAAGAGAACTCTTCTCCTAATTTTTAATATTATATCCTATGTAACTGCGTATTTTAAATAGTATAGTATGTATTTAGCTACTTTATGTCGAACTCAGATTTTCATGGGAACAGTTTTAGTTTCTTTATACCAGCGCAAAATTTATGCATTTGTAAATGCATCTCACAAAATAGGGGAAATGATAGCATGGTCAAAAGTTTGTAACCTTATTATTGTTCATACATACATAAAATAAGCAGTTCAATAAAGTTCTATTCCTCAATCACTTTCTCGAACGGAGGACACATTACGGTTTTGTACAAAATTATTTGGCACTTTTTTGCACTATCTTTTAACTGTGACGGTGACAAATGCATACATAGATAATTCATTTGAAGAAAGCAATCTCTCCGACCGAGAAATTCCGAGAAATTCCGTATAAAATTCTACCCGGCGTCGACCTCCGATAAATACATATTAATTAACTTACCTTTCATAGTCGAGTTTCCGTAAAAACAAACCTGTTTTCACTTGCATAAATACTTTACATATTTTAATCTTCAAAGACTTAAATCTTGCATACATATGTAAATCAGAGCAATAAAAAAACAAGTCCAAAACCGGGTTCATACAATAGATTTTGGGCCTAAATCACACACATGTGTGCAAATCATGCGCAAAATGTAGATGCAAAAAAAAACTTACACATGTATGTACACTATTCCATTGCTCTATATACATATTTACACCCAAATACACGCACACTGGCAAACATACGTTACTCATGAACAGGTTGAAATTCGTGAACAAGGGAACGGCCGTATATTACGTCATCAAAAATGTGAATGGGTGGTTTTTAGTAGTCCATCTTACTAGTGCTCAGCTTAATATGAAGACAATAAAGAAGTGGTGGTCGGGTAGTCTAAATAGATAATCGTAAGAATCAGTGATTTTTGATGACGTACTATATGGACGTTCCCTAAGTTCATGTCGAGATGGGAGAAACAGGTTTGATCAGGCAAAATTTGGGTTAATTTTGTGAAAAACAAAACCTATTTTCATATCTGAATTGGCCTCTGTTGTGGTCGTACATAGCTCCTTATTTTTCATCTTATAAAAAATTACACATTTTAAAATCGGATCTATTTACTCCTAGAACTACAAGTGTTTATCACATATTTTTATTCCGTAGAGCTTAAAACGGTTGAAACAACCAGGTCCCAATAATGGTAATCATTTGAGTCAAAAATGTCGGCTCAAAATTTGTATTATCTTGTTGCCAAAATTTTCAATCAGACCGTTCATTCCAGAAAGAAATTTCACACGAAGCTGAACGGAAGTTGTGCAGTTTCTTATTTGACAGTTTAACAATAAGAAGGCTCAACTGAATTTCCAAAATCAAGCCATAACAATAAACAAATTTTGTATATCTTGATCCCATTTTAAACAAAATTACAGAATTTCAACTTATTTTGAATACTAACTTTAAAAATCTCAAAAAATCTTGTGTCCAAAGTGATTGACAAGTTTTAATTTTCCACATTTTTTCAGATTTTAAGACTAATCACCATACTCTGCATACTCAAGTCCACCACGCCGACGTATTCTTCAGAATCTGGTGTTCCACATGATGTCCAACTCACGCAACCCAATAAAAGAATGGATCCGATTCCAGTTGTAGCAAGAAATTTGGTAGATATTCACTCTTAAAAATGATCCTACCCTTTTGAAAACTAAATGCAGTCTGAATTCTGTGTTCAGAATAAACTGTACAAAATCCCGAGTAAACTTTACCCTTTATCAAGTTAACGATACTCTAGATTTAGTATAGTTTACTTATGTAGAACTCAGAGCGCATTTGATTTTCAATGGAATAACATTATTTTTAAGAGTGTTCCGTTGAGTTAAGCGATATTTAGAAAATTCACTCTGCAGTCCATAATTTGTCTCGTTTCAGACATTAAGACAACAGGCACGTCGCGCGAGGCAGATAGACTATTGTGTAAACCTGCTCAACCAGAATGGCATGTACCACCCACACTCTCAAGCATTTTCCGGCGCCCCCCAACAATATCCGTCATATGGAAGCAGCCAGTATCCCATAAATTCGTACCCGGCCAATTACCCGAACCAATATCCTGGATACCCATATCCATCACAAAGTGTGAGCTTAAAAGAGCTTAAAGCATTACACAATTAGTTGACTAGGAAGGTTTCCTCCATTTTAACTACTGCCAATAAAAACCGGAAAATTAGGTTTATACAAGGTACTTACTACCAGGGATAAATTTAAACGCCCCGCAAACGGAACATATGTATCCAATATTTTAATATTGCATTCTCACCTGTGAAACATCTTTTATCACTATGAAAAATTCTGAAGAACTGCAAGATGCTTAAAACGCCACCTAGTGGCCTACCCTTTTTACTACATGTAATTAAGCGGTTGAGTAGCGATTTTTCTGTGTTTCTTGTACATTGGCAAGAAATCGTAGCTTTAATTTAAATAGGTGTACACGTTGACTAATTTATCTTAAATTTCACCTATGAATTGAAATTGTGAATTGAAATTTGTTTTTTAGCAACTCGGACCTGCTTATGCTCCTCCAGCCGTGAAACAATGTTCCCAACGAGCGTCCACTCCGGATGCCACGTTCAGCCGGAGTTGTTACGACCCGAAGGTGCAATCGGGACATGACGTCTGCAAGTTTTACATTGAAGGTGCCATCTACACGGGGAAGGATCCTTATCAAGCGGGCTGTCCTTCCGGAACGGTCGGGTATTGCTGCTGCGATCCGAAAATCGGGACTTGTGAAAATATTGTTTAAGAACGTACTTTTACGTAAATAAGTAGGTTTAATTTCAAATTTATGTCAAACAATGTGTTGACTAATGGATTCGATCCTCAAATAATAATAAGTTCCACCGAGTGAGAATAGAATAAAATTGTTGTCATGATATCCAATTATTCGTGGGCTGTTGTACAAATTTTTCAAATAAATAATTATACTCGGTGAAAACTCTTAATTTGGTTCAATTAAATTCATACGCGTATAATATTTGTTGAACACTTTTCCCCTCTTTTATGACGTATGGATAATACCATCTTCTACATTATAAGCTGGAAATGTTTGTCTGCAACGGAAGTGAAAGTTATTTTCCGAAACGGAAGTGAAAGTGGAGAAAGTGATTTGCATATCAGCTGCGTTGGTGCCAGCGGTTGGAAAGTCGATAAGTTAGTTATCCTTGGCTTGATGGTTATCAGTAAGGGAAGGTAACACAAACTCTTAATTGTGGTTATCTGGTCGCTCGGGGGATTGGGAGGGTTTCCCCCCCTGGGATATGGTTATCGCTCTGCTGGGGGGAGTGGGAGGGTGTGCCCCCTGGGATATGGTTATATGGTTATCGCTCTGCTGGGGGGAGTGGAAGGGTGTGCCCCTCTGGGATATGGTTATCGCGCAGCTGGGGGGAGTTGGAGGGTGTGCCCCTCTGGGATATGGTTATCGTTCTGCTGGGGGGAGTGGGAGGGTGTGCCCCTCTGGGATATGGTTATCGCTCTGCTGGGGGGAATGGGAGGGTGTGCCCCTCTGGGATATGGTTATATGGTTATCGCTCTGCTGGGGGGAGTGGAAGGGTGTGCCCCCCTGGGATATGGTTATATGGTTATCGCTCTGCTGGGGGATTGGAAGGGTGTGCCCCTCTGGGATATGGTTATCGCTCTGCTGGGGGGAATGGGAGGGTGTGCCCCTCTGGGATATGGTTATATGGTTATCGCTCTGCTGGGGGAGTGGGAGGGTGTGCCCCCCTGGGATATGGTTATATGGTTATCGCTCTGCTGGGGGAGTGGAAGGGTGTGCCCCTCTGGGATATGGTTATCGCGCAGCTGGGGGGAGTTGGAGGGTGTGCCCCTCTGGGATATGGTTATCGTTCTGCTGGGGGGAGTGGGAGGGTGTGCCCCTCTGGGATATGGTTATCGCTCTGCTGGGGGGAGTGGGAGGCCGTGCCCCTGGGATATGGTTATATGGTTATCGCTCTGCTGGGGGGAGTTGGAGGGTGTGTCCCCCTGGGATATGGTTATCGTTCGGATAGGAGGATTTAGAGGGTGTGCCCCTGGGGTATGGTTATCGCTCTTGGGGGAATGGGTATGCTAGACATTATCATGGAAATTTGCCTATTAACCCAATGAAAGGTGTAAAATGGTACCGAAGGGACATTAGTTATTCCTTTGTTCCGGATATTTAAGGAATATGCTGTTCCGTTCAGGCCCATTCCGAAACCATTGACATAAATTTCGCTATGTGTGGATGACGGGAAGGAGAACGGATTCCGTTCCCTTCATGGGTTGACCATATTCATATCGGATTCAAAGATAGATTACTTAGGGTACACATAAGGGAATGGAATTCCCTTCCTCTTCCATTCCCCTTGGATATAGTTCAGGCGCAGTAGTGAAATCTTCACATCAGTGGTAGGGAAGGGGAATGGAATTCCGCTCCCTTCATCTGTGGACTACTTGATGGAAGGAATGACGGGGGTGCGAGACATTGGCTCACGAGTTTGCATATTGAAAGTGGCTACACCCCCAGTGTCGGGTGTCATCTGTTTGTGGGGTCGCGCACCTAAATGGCCACTACCTCTGTTTGATTTTGCCCTATTGGGATGTGGTTATTACTATATTGGGGGTGTGCGGGCTGGAGCCGCAGTGAAGTCATCAAACGATGGTGAGGGTTCCGTTCCTTCCCTCTTCCCTTTGGATATACTTCAGACGAAGTAGTGACATCTTTGCACGATTCGGAAAGGAAAGGGAACGGGATCCGCCTCCCGTTAGATATACTTCAGACGAAATAGTGACATCTTTGCATGAAGGGAAAGGGATCAGATTCCCCTTTCCGTTAGATATACTTCAGATTAAGTAGCTATTTCATATTTTGTCAAGGCTCATAACCAGCTCTCACTGCAGCGTCACATAAGGAACATGCCCCTCCCAACGACAGACAAAATATACAGTAGCCCCGGAAGGGTGGGGACAGAGGGACGAGGGAAAATGTCCCCGCGGTTATTCGATGTTCCCATCGGCTGCTCATGTTATACACACTCCATTCCCTTCATGTGCAGACTACGTAGATTTAAGAATCGAATCTGAATTCCATTCCCTTCACGAAGGGAATGAGGCCTTCGATGAATCTTCTACTGGAACAGATTTTGAAATCTGAGCACGAGTATAATATCATACGCGCTTTGACGTGCCACACACAAGTAACCGTGTGGACCAAGTCAAATGTGACATATGTCGAACACGTCAAACGTGTCGTTGTTAACAGATTTTGAATCGGGTATAACAATTTGATGTTGATTTTCCTTGGATCCATTCGTTGTGACCAAATATTTATTACCAAATAAGAATATACAGTATGCCATGAGCATTGTTTCGATTTCTTAAATATTTTAATTTTCCTACCATCAACTTTCATCATCAACTCATTCCATCAATTTCACGTTCTTCACAAATTCCTTTGACTTCCGTCGGTGACAAAATTTGAAATTATTATATACATTAAAATATTTAATTGGTTTGAGTTTTCCAGAATTCCACTCAATTTTATTTTCATGACAATCAACTAAGCTCGCGCCCGGCGGGAGACGGGCTTATACGCTAGTAATTCATACTTTTATAACCATCCCCTCCGCACAAAACTTGTTGACGTAAAAAAATCAAAATTAACACGTTCATCTGTAAAGTTATTACTTTTATGTATAATTCCAAAGCACCAAAAATCGTAGATTTTGAGTTTATTATTACTAACTAGAATTTAATTTTTAAACCATAAAACACAAAGTACCATATGTAAATGTTACAAAATTCAAAATTGCACGGGTCATAATTTCGGCTTTGACGCCAAACATTTATTTACATGCATATGTACATGAAAGCTTATATATTTATCTTAAAGCTTACATATATTTTGGTCAAAATTTTGAAGCCAATTTACCATTAAGAAAAAATCGATGCTTAGTGCTTTTGCAAACATGTATGTATGTACATATTTATGTATGCTGTCTTTCCATTAAGGTTTCATTGCATGAATAAGTTTTGTTTCATAATTCTACACAATGGAACAAATTGATTTAAGCTGAATAAATTTTTGAAAACTAATTACACATATGGTTCACGGTTCCCAAATTCAAGTGTTAGTACCGGTCGTCAAACAAAATTCTGGATTAGCAGGGTGGCCTCGTTGTCCCAATAATTTCGGTGATTGGAGTATTCTAAAAGTATTTACCCGAATAATTAAACATTCCCGTCCCACCATTACACACATTCGGGGTATTCATAATGAGTTTCCATGTTCGCATAGTTACAAAATTTTGAAAATAAATTTGCAAAATACAATATGCACAACATCTCCAATGACTTTTAACCCAAAGTTTTTACAAGTTGTATATTTTTTTTGCTAACGATGCGAACTGTTATGAATATCCTTATTGACTCACTGAGAATTTAAAGTTTAAATAGTCCAGGACCGAATTAGCGATCGGGTGTTTCACCTCCCTCTCAAACATTTCTCCCAAAATTCCGAGAACCTCGATCCCCAAACCATCCGCACTATCAGCGGTTACCAAGTCGGGGAAAAGCACATGATTCGCCACGTCGGAAATGGGATCATTCAAAACAATTTCTCGGTTCGAGTAACTCCGAATATTTATGTATCCATCTTCAATCGCAAAGCCAGAAATCCGAATGGTCAAACCCAAGCTAAAATCCCGAATTTGCCAGTTTCCAAGCCCAGAAATTGGGTACATCGAAACAATCTTTCCTTCGGCTTCATATGCGCCTACATTTAAATATTATATTTATACATATGTGCATGTGTATTTTTCATAGATGCTTATTTAGTAAATATACGCTTAGCACCGTAATTACCAACCACATTTTGATTTGCATAAGATAAAAAGCGCTTACGATTGTAATTTACATTTTTGGATTCAATTGCAAAATCTTCAATACGTTTAAACTAAGCGAGACCAAAATTCGGTCGGTTAATTGTAGTACTAACTGTATCTATTATTTCGTACCGCTCAACGCAACTCGAGGAAAAAACAATTCCACTGAGAAAGTTGGAGTTTAAAATTCTGACTCGACATTTTGCACGACCATCCAACCAGACATGTTGGAACCTACCGTATTTCTGTGGACACAAAGAGTTGAAACTTTGAAAGTTCAGACCATGAATGTTTTTGCTTAGTTGAAACATAGCTTTATGTAAGCATGGACGAATAGGTACTATATAGATGAGTGATGTAGATGAGTGAGGAGCGAGTGGTGAAAAGCGTTCCCCTTTTGAAAGCATGGGCGAAAGTGACCGTTCGGCGGGTCACTAAAGTCGTCACCACTTGACGAAATGTCATTTTGACGCGGAAATTTTGTCACATCATCGGACTAGTATTAAAATCTACGTTGAATGTACATAGTGGTTATGCTGGGAGCTCCGGGCACTATAAGAGGTTCCCTCGTGAGTCAATGGGCGAAATATACGCCCCGTAGTTGATATACAAATAGTTGATATGATGATACATGGGCGTGGACCTCGGGCGCAAATTTTCGACATTTAAATTAATAAACCTTGTGCACGTACAAGTATGCCTTGCACGAAATACATAAAAAAAGCTCCTCATTTTTCAATGTGCTTGTCATTCAGAGGTAAATTCTAATTTAAACATTCCAAAGAAATCACATCAAACCTAAACGTTCCATCAAGACGCAGGAAGGAATTGTCCACACGTACGGCCATCGGAGTAATAATTGGACGGGTTGGATCTAATCCATTGTTTATCAAGTATTGCGGATAGTTATTCAGCGACCAGGTTAGAAAGTTATTCATTCCTTCGCTTGTTATGGAATCTGTAATATGTAAGGGTCAACCAATAACCTTAACTTTAAGTGTTCAACTCCTTAATGTTTTTGATATTAAGTAATTAATACCTAAATTTGAACAAGATGTGACTCCGTCCGTCGTGGTATCTATCGTTGTGGTTGGTCCCGTTGTCGGATACGGTGTAGTTGGACCCGATGTAGTTGGCCGGGGTGATGTTGATGGTTCTACCCAATTAATTATGTCCGTTACAGGTATCCACTATGGACAACATCGAATTAATCAAATATACTGGATGTCTTTAATATATAATTTAAAAATCAAGGAGCAGTTTCTTTCGTTTAATACATATGTATTTCAACCTGAGAATCTACTCACCGTGAAGGCTTCTTTAAGGTATCGACGAAATGCGGAGAAAAGTTCCAAATTGTCAGGTACTATCATTTGAGGTATACGATCAGCAAGTGTTCTCAGAATCTGACTCTCATATTGTTCCGTGTCAGGTGTTAATAGCCCGGTAAAACTTCCAGTTAAACTGGTCAAATTAAAAGTTACCAGTACGGACTCAGGTGGATGTGTATCATTAAGCCGGATATATCCATTCTCCAAATAGAAATTTTCTCTGTACGTTGTATAAAAACCGCTCGATCTGAGATGGTACCAGCTTTTCCCACCGATAGGATGACGTCCAAGGACAGAACCATTAGCATCGTAATTTCCTAATCAAAAATTCACAGAGAAACGGTCTACTTGTTCATTAATAGTTTATTAATAGCACCAAACCTGACACTCCTCCGGTTTCCACGATATAACGCAGATTTATAAGAGTATTTGTAAACGATGTCTCCCCAGAAGGATCATCCGCATAACCATTCATTGAATAACCATGCCAGGAAGTGTTGCTAGAAAATGGAATATGCTTACAATGCGATGACGCCCGCGGTTTCGCCCCGATTTTGACGAAACCACGATAATTATTTAGCATTAGATAAATAATTAAACATGTATTTCTGGATTTTTCATAATGCCCAGTTTAAACAAAGTTATGAGGTAATCCGTGAACGAGAATTTCCATTTCAACCGTGACATTTTTTCTTGTGAGGGAGAAAAATACAAATACAAATACAAACACAAATACAAAAATACAAATTTCGCTTACCGATTCCATCATACATATGTACATGGTTTCCTTTAAACTGCAAATAGGTGGGCATGAACTTTTTTTCGATTTTAAATTGAATTTTTGAATACATTTTCAAACAAACTAAGGATTTTTCAAAATATTGAAAATTTTAAAATTTTAAACCGATTTCAAAAATTAATGACAATTTTTGCAGAGAATAACATTGATAGACTTAAGAAAAATCTACTTTTCAAAAATTTGAATTTTACAAAATTTATGATTTGTTTCATTATTCAAAATTTGTGCGAGCAATTTAAAATCTTGGAAAACCCCTTTATATCCACGCATTTTAGGTTTAAACGAAATTACATATGTATGATTTAATCCCTAAGCGAGAGTCTGTGTTTTTCACCCTCGCGATAAAAATGTCACAGTAAAAGTGAAAATTCTCGCTCATGGATTCCCTCATAATTTCTTGTAAGCTGAACATTATGAAAAATTCAGCAAAACGTATTTGATTATTTATCTAAGGGTACATAATTATCGTGGTTCGCCGAAATCGGAGCGAGGGGAGCATGTCAAGTTTGGTCGAATTTAACTAGTAACCTTGCAATGATGTTTTCCAGTATTTGGGGCGATATGAAAAATTTGAGGCACATTTGGAAAAAATGCTGTTACACGTGTACACTAATTTTTGATTCTATTGAACACGTGTAACAGGGTTTTTAGTTTTGCGACAACACTGCACACACCATGCACCGGTTTATGTGAACCTATTCTGTCACATAATGGTATGAACATTAAAATAAGGGGTCTTTTTTTATCCTAATCTTAACAGATATGTACATAGCTGGAGCATACAGATACTTAGGTATATAAAGACATAACGAATAGCATTGGAAATTTCAAACTCGGAATAATTTTAGAATCTTCTGCAAATTTTTAAATTTCTTAACATATCGAAAAAATACGACCCTGGTGCGGAACATGTTAACATGTACACAGCACCAAGATCAAGAATTCCTATGCTGTAATACTCTTAGGCAACACGAACAAATTTTAACAAAATTGGTAAGTTTAAATTTATATGCGAGCAATACAGAATCAGACCACGGACCTATGGCCTCCCATGCCTCACTTACGGGAGGTTTTGAATAGCCACTCCCGCTACCAGCAGCGAGCCTATTCAGGTTTGGGTGGGTGTAGTCTCTTCGCCGGTTGAAAGGATGAGACTTCTGCTTTCCTCCGAGAAATGGTGCAAATAATGTGTGCACAACAAATGACGATCTCTTTAATGCAACGCCAATTTATTGTCACAATTTAACTCACTAATTATTACACCAATTGTCCACTATTAGGACCACTGTCTCAGCAGTAAGTCTGCTCTGTTCCTATTCTAAACTACGACTCTTTTCTACCTCTTGTTAACCTTTACTCAAATCCAAGGTTAATTGTTCATTGCCTTTCTTTCTCTTGCCAACTCACCACCACCGCGAATCAAAAATAGTGGGGCGACTTAAGACACAAAAAAGAGAGATTTTCATGCATGAAAAGCTTATATTACGCAAAAGGAGGCAAGCAAAAACCACCGTAAACATTCTCTCGGGATTTGAATACATTCCGTGCAAACGGTAATAACACGTCAAAAATTATGCCTACGCTCTACGTATAATTATGTCCATTTATTCTTAGTGAGGCAAATACCTGACAACGAAAAAAATTGCTAAGTATGCATTTACACCATCCAAAAAGTCACTTAAGTCGATTTCTCGGCCATTTCTCCACCGATTTTGATGAAATTTTGCACAGATCATTGTTAGATAATTTAGAAAAGATTTATTAGTCGACTTGGCGAATTTTTGATTTTTACCCTAGTTATGTGCCAAAATATGCAAAAAATTTCCCCTGAAAACATATTTATTTTTATGATTCATAACTGGTGTATCTCAGCATGCTCGCTTATTGAAAATATTTTAGTCAAAGTCATTCCGGACATTTTAGGCGCAAAATTACCTAAATCGGTTGAGAAATAACAGCGTTATTCAAGTTTGAAAATCAAAAATTTAATAAAAATATTCAGGGTGCCGATAATAACAGAGGTTGTGCAATAAAAATAATGTCTTTGACAACCAATTACAAGTTTTAAAGAAACAAGGCCCCAAACAATGGGAAATCTAAGTGAGTCAGCGCAATCACAGTTAATAAATAAAATTAGATTGAATAACTTTTGCATCACCGCTCTCGGGATAATTTTTACTGGGTCCAGTGTAGATTTAGTTTCGCATGCATTAATTAAATTAGTTGAAATTACAAGATGACGTTTTTACTATTGAACGAGAAGTTGGCTAAATTAATCGATATGAAATATAATTGTGAACTGCGAATTTTAAATTTAGAAAGAGTTGAAAATCTACAATTTCGATATATAAATTTGGATATCCTATTAATTCCTATTCTGATGAAATCTCCAATTATTCTAAACGATTAATTAATGCTTCCAGGAAAAATGATACCGAGAGCGGTGATGAAAAAATTATTCAATCTAATCTGTGATTGCGTTGACTCACTAAGATTTCCTTTTTCTCGGGGCCTTGTTTATTATATAGTCAAAAGGACGGGTGGATAGTTTGGGTCGCCTAGCTTACTCGTTCTGAACTTAACAAGAGTAGGATACGGAAGGAGTTAGTAACATGTCCAAAAATCGGCGTTATTCTGGTGACGTAATATTTGGGCGTTTCCTTAGCAAATTTGTATGTACCTGATTTCCCCGTGCAAATTGAAAAGCCCAGTGGATACGGATAATGCAAAGAATCTGCCTGCTCCTCGGATTGGATCCTGGCCTTCTTCTATAAACCAGTCTTGGAAACCAAGCATTTTGTAGGTAATGAATCTACGCAATCCGTCATCATATGGATCTCCTAGGGCCTCTAATTTTAAAAATAATTTCAAAATTTCAAAAGTGAGAGGATAAGTTAAAACAAAAAGTTTTTGCCCCGAAAAACGAATAAAATAGATACATAAGTTTGCTGTAATTTTGCACTTAGGCTGAAGAATCAGGAGGAAAAATAGAGAGAATATATCGCCATAATTTCAACATTTTCGACCACACAAACGCGTAGTGTTTCTTCCGGTTAGTCTGCACGTTTGGTGCAAATTTGATTAATTTTTTTCAAGCATTTTAGGCAGTGTGTGGAGAGCAAAAAGGCAGGCAATGCCTTTTTGTCTGCCTCTTTGCCT